CCTTTTTAAAATTCATGGGTTTTTTTGGAATTAAAATAGTTAAGGGGTTAATCTGAAATATCTCCAAAGTTAAGGGGGTTTTCTCAAATTCACCCATTAATCAATATATGCATGCATGGACCACTGAAGCACTAGCAAGAATACCTAAACAACACTTGAACAAGAAAAAAGTTGCAGGCCTACAAAAGGATTTCAGTACTAGTCTTGCACATCAACCAACAAGCTATCATAAGCAAGACCAACTTCAATGTGAAGATTCAGATGTAGATACAGCTTCACCGTGTCACTCTTTCTGAGAAACTATAGTTTCATGATATGTATCAAGAAATATGCTTCAGCAAGGATAATTTTTGTTTGTCTTTAAGAAAATTTTACAGTTGTACATATATCAACAAAAGACAGAAAAGCAGCCTTTTGAAGGAGCATAAGAGTTTTTTCAATGAGAGAAAAAATATTTAGCTCCCGAATCCTCGCATTTTCTTTTCGGTATTTTACTTCAATAATTGAATAAAGGAAGCACTTTATCAACTTCTTATTCTCTATACACTACCTACGTACCTTTTAAATTTAAGTCTGTCTTAACCATAAAACAATATCCAGATAATAATGAAACCTTGTGACAATCGATTTTTTTGCAAACCACGAAAAGATGAAATTCATTTAGTTGAATCATACAAATCTGCTCAATTAATTGAGGAGCACAAGCCAATACAATGTCATATATAACCTGACAATCTAAGGTGTTATAATAAGGAAATGAAGTTTATTTGTTTTTTCCTTTTCTACTATGGATAATACATATATTGGAAATTACAGGAAAAAGGACATAACAAAAGGGGAAAAAAACTGGTTAACCTGTCAAGTCCAAAATTTAACCGGAAATTAGTTCTTCTTGACGAGGAATTTTAGTGCATGGTGTCACAACTCCCTTGCCATTGTTATTTCGATTTTAACTACGAAATGAGGCAAGGAACTGATCATCATCTTGGTTAGGATCATTTATATCATATTCAAGAGGAGCCATTGGTAAATTTGAATTTGAGCCTGATGCCGATTCACTTAATTGAGATGCAAGTAACTTATCCAGGACTTTCCAATCAACAAATTGTGCCCTTGCGTCATATTTTTCGCCGATATGTTCCCCTTTGTTAGTCATTGAACTAGCATCAAAGCAGTCAGAACTATTGGCCAAATTTGTGGACATACTAGGGCTATCTAGCCGAGGAATCTCAAAGATGCCACAAGGTAGCTTAGGCTCATTTTCGACTAATCCAAGAGCAGATTCATAAAAATTGGCTCCTGGATTTGATTCCATGATGCGTGTAGGCCGAGTAACTTCTTGAAGTTGTTCAAGCATGTAATCATGGTCTCTAACGTAGTAAGGACTACTGTAAGTATTGTAGATTGGCCTTGGGTTTGGAGTTGGCTTTTTGAAAGCTCGGCATACGACCCATCCTTCTTCCTGCAGTAATCAATATCATATGCATCAAATTCAGAAAGATAAAAATGACAATGTTATGAAATTGCATATAACATATATTATAACGTCAAGTTTTAACGCTCGTAATTTCTCTTTAGTTTAGAAATGGAGGTGAATGCAAATGAATGAGGTTTGATTTTAAACTGTTCAAAGAAACTTTGATCTTTTGGCAGTCTCGGCCTTATATTCAACTTTGAAAAGTATATTTAGACAGAACTGCTATGTTTTTTTTTCAATATGTACTATAATCCTATTATACAAGAAACATTAACTCAAATGTTGAATGTATTTAAGGGTTACTTGTTTTTTTATACTATAAATACAGATATAGGGTATAGTTCCTGATAAACGTAATACCCGTCAAGCTTAACCCTAATTTGACTAATGAGTGAAGAAAATGATGAACTTGCCTGAGGAGGGGCATGTTCACCCGACTGCAGGCGATATTCATGCATGATCCAGTCGCTCTTCCTTCCATTTGGTGCTCGACCCTCGTAGAACACGAGCGTCTTCCTCATCCCTATTACTTTAGATTTAGAAAGCACAGCCTTATCTCGCCCTGTCGCCTTCCAGAATCCCGCATTAGTTGCCCTATTAGTTCGAGTACCGCTAGGATACTTCTTATCTTTATGGCTGAAGAAGTACCATTCATTTTGCTCCTCATAGCCATGCTTGCATCTTTCTATTGTTTATAAGCATAGACATTGAAATTGGTTAGAGTAAGAGTTGATATAAACACAAAGTATATGTCGTTTGTGGAAGTTGACTACCTTGGAGATCCCATGGCTCTATTCTGTAGAGGTCAATGTCATTGATGACTCCTAGGTCAATCTTTTGTGAAGTAATTTTTCTTGTAAGGTAATATCCCACAAGCTCTTCTTCTGTGGGATGAAACCTAAACCCTGGTGGGACACAACATTCCACTTCCATTGGCAGGTAATTCTTCGCTTGAAAGGCCTAGCACACCTACAAGTCCAATGCATGCATGAAAATAGTGAGTGGAGTTCAACAAGACTTGATAAGGAAAGGACTATGAAAAAATTTGGATCACTTATCCAATTATATATAATCACCCAATAGTATGTAGACTGTTGTGATTAATTTGTTTTTAGTATAATTAATATCGTATACCTCATGAATGGCATTCGTCCCTACTTTCCATTTATGATAAGTTGCATCAAATGATATATGATTATGATTAAAAAAATGGTCTCTCTGTACGTACTCTATAACGATCGATTGTGGTGAGGATCCGTATCGATCATGAAAAAAACTATAGCACTATACTGATTTAATAAGTCAGCAAACAACCCATGTTTAGGATAATTTCCATAAACGTTGATTTTTTGTTGTTAATATAATTATAAAACCCTACCAAACTCCCACGTTAATCGTTGTCTGTATTGTTTAGGTGTGAAGGAGACATACGCTAGTGCAACCATATAAAAAAGCAGACAAAAAAATTGACTTTTGAGTTGCACGCATGCCATGTTGTATTTTCCTTGGAGTGCACTCCATGGTTACAAATGCTTTCACATCAACCCACCAAACATCTAATTTTGGCCAAAAAACACTAACAACAATTCCCTAAAGAAGACCGGGTCATTAGTCTTCATCATCTCATTAATTAATCTTTCTAAACTAATGAAAAATATAGAGGAGGAAGAACAATATAGAACAAATAACATGCTCTGATCACCCTAGAATTTCATGATGCATTTTGCCTACCATACCTTGGAGGGTGACACAAACTATGCGCATGCACAGCGAAGAGTTTGATTCTGAGAAGTTCTTCGGCGATGAGCTGATTGCTGAAGAGAGAAAAAGAGATGGAAGAAGAAGAAGATTGATGTGCTTTATTGAATAATGTGCAGTTAGAATGAGAGAAGAATATAGTATATATGTAGGTGTAGAGATCCAAGGATATAAATATGTGATAAGGTGGTAAATATATTTATACTCATTGGATTGTAAAGCAAGAGAGTAGTAGCCATCAATTGCGCGTGGGGTGGCAAGTGAAATGTAGAGAGAGAGAGAGAGAGAGAGAGAGAGAGAGAGAGAGAGAGAGAGATATTATGGTCGATTTGGACGGCGGGACAACAAAAGATCCTTAAGCCACCACTCCTTATCTCTCTCTAACCCTATATTAAGTTACAAGACTTTCACTACTTTGTTCATAATTCACTTGTAACATACTAAGGATAACGACCTTGGCCTTCAAACTAAAGCCAACTAGCTTTGCGCCGACCAACGCTGACGCGTACCTATCAGACGCCGCCACGTGGCACACCACATGGAATCTTGTATGCTACAGTACCAATGATTAGTACCCCTAATACATACCTCATATAGTAGTGTGCATGGTACACTACTTCCGATCCTCTCCCTTACGCCTCAAGTGTAAGAAGAAAGGCATCCAACTGTATACCCTCTTCTATAATCTAGGGTTCCCAAAATGAGAGGATGGGATATGTGACTTAAAACCTAAGACATCTACCTCACCAAAAGTGCACATAAATTTATGCGAACCAAGACTAGAAATTATTTCTTTTTCAGATAAGTTTGCTCTGGTGGTGCTAGGCAGTAGACCACTCACCATACAAGAATTATTATACGCAAGGCCCTAGAGAGACATCTAACTAAAAATATAGCTCAGCACATGAACTTTTATTCAGATCGAGTTCTAAATTGAGGGTCCTGAAATTCTTATATGATTCAGTGTTAATTTTTATATTACGGTTGTATTAAACAAGTTACGTGTCGATTTTTTGATGCGTTCGTTGTTTGTTTAATCTAGAATTTGTTTAATATTTATGAATAAATATATAGTTGCTCAAGAGATGGACAGACAGCTCTAGGACTGGCCAGCAGTCATTTGTATGTTATATGTTTTTTTAAAGACTAATTTATACGGTATGTGCGCCATCTGCATTCTTCAAATATTTCTTTGGTGGGTAGTAGTAGGATAGGTTTGTTAGAAAGGGTTGAGGAGTACACTCATAAAAGTGACCTTTGTCCTGAAAGCATCAAAAGACTTATACTGAATATTGTTTCATCAAATGTATTTATGCAAATTCAAAAAAAAACTTTGGATATCAGTATCCTATTAATTAACTTATAATTGATTAACTTAAAAATTCATTCCTAGGTAAGGGAAAGATATATTAAATGTTGTAGGAAATTATTCAAGCATGTGTTTGACTAGCAAGATTTTGCCTATTTATCCTTTTTTCAGTATGAAGATGTTATTGGAGAATAATCGATCAGATCTCTCTAGCTGACAGTTAAATAAGTCCCAAATATAGATACATAACCAAATCAACCTAAGAACTTAACATGTTAGATAATTAAACTGGTCAATTTCTATGTAATGCAGGTATTCTTTCTAGTTCTTCCAATATGAGACTATAGTCGCACATAAATTCTCAACAAACTTTTGTTCATTTTTGAACATATCTTAGTGAAAACCACGAACTTTAGAATAGAACCACATTCACATGGGTTGAGGAGTGCATGAGGATATGCAATCATTTGAATGAGCGAAGGGGATTATATCACCTCACTACCAAGCACAACTTTTTGTGCTTGACACTAAAATATCTATTTTTCTATGTGTGTGTGTGTGTGTGTGTGTGTAAGACTTCTATCAACTTAATTTGATGTCCACCAAACTTCCTAGCCACTCATTTATTAATATAAAAATAAGACTCCTATCAACTTAAGTTGATGTCCACCAAACTTTCTAGCCACTCATTTATTAATATAAAAAACTTTTTCATATCATGTAAGGATCCCTAGGCAATATGAGTGGCTAAAAAGTTTCGTGAACAACTTTTTTTTTTGGTAAATGAAAAAATTTTATTCATCACCAATTGTAGAATTGAATGTACAACAAGAATCTCAACCTATGTATGAGATAACAAAAACTGACATCAAGAGCTCAGAGATAGAGCTCAATCAAACACTCTAAAAAGAAAAAACTCAGCAAATAAAAGCAGCTGAGATTTAGGATCAAGCACTACTAATTATTCTCCTCAATGAATTTCATAGTGAGATGATCCATTCTCTGTCTTCAGTTTTAAACGAGCCATTGAAAACATATGAGTAAATCCTGAATTTGATTACTTTAAAGAGCTGATCAGCTGGCCTTGCTTCCTGTTTGAAAATCCTGAAATTCCTCTCTCTCCATATGCTATATACTGCTGTAGTTAGAGCCATCCTTTTAATCCTTTGCTTGAATCCATTCCCCTTCAGTCTACCACAATACCAATTCACAAGCTGGTTCCAGTCACAGGACTGCCACTTGAACTGAAGCTAATCCATAACTTTTAACCATACTTCTCTTGAATAGCAGCACTCAAAGAAAAGATGATTTCCGTTTTCAGAACCAGTACACATACACCAATTGTTAGAGTTCACTATTCCCCTTTTAATCAGTCTGTCAATAGTGAGCAACCTATCTTGGATTGCTAACCAACAGATAAAGGAGTGACTGAGGAAGTTTGTAGTCTCCCAAACTGTTCTATGTCATGGCACATCTGAAGAATTAGGGGAGAGAGCATTGTACAATGCTGAAATCTGGATTCTAGAATTGTCTGAGCAAGATTGAATGAGCAGCAACAAGTTATTTACACCTCCGCAAATGTTTATAGACTTATCTCTGACTTTCAATATTTTCTTCCACATCCATGAGTCCCAGTTTTTAGCTTGAACATGCCATATATCATCATTCTTTAAATATGCACTGTGTATCCATTTGATCCACAGACTTTCTTTATTAACATGGATATGCCACATTAATCTCAGCATAGTTGTCATATTCCAGATTGTTGCAGAATAGATGCCAAGTCCCCCCATGTCTTTTGTTCAAACAGACCTTATCCCAAGAAACAAGTGGAATTTTATGCTTCTGGTCTGTTTTGCCCCACAGAACATTCCTGCACATTTGATCAATCTTCTACAAGACTCTAACAGGTAAAACATAATTTGAAGTCCAATAAATTTGAATGCCAAGTATAGTACTCTTGATAACCTGTAATCTGCCAGCAAAAGACAGAGTTCTGTTTTTCAGACATGCTTGTAATTGATCTGAGATTTTTTTTAAAAGAGGAGAACAATCAGCATATGATAAACGTTTGGATATCAAAGGAACCCCCAGGTAATTGATGGGCAAAGCACCCTCTGTGAAATTCAGGAGATTCTTAATCAGACCTTTGGCATAATCATCAACACCACTGTAAAAAATCTTGCATTTTTCTGGATTTGCTACCAGACCTGATACCTCACTAAACTCCTTGAAGCAATTGAAAAGAAGTTTAACAGAATGTATGTCACCCTTTGAAAAGAGGAGGAGATCATCCGCAAATATTAGATGAGTGATTTTTAGTTCACCACATCTAGGATGGAATTTAAATGAACTGTCCTCCTTGAGCATATCCAATTTTCTTGACAGGAACTTCATACCCAATGTAAACAAATAAGGAGAGATAGGATCACCTTGTCTCAAACCCCTTTCTCTTTTGAAATATCCATGAAGAGTACCATTTAAAGAAATAGAGTACTTAGGAGATGTAATGCACACCATGATCCAATTTGTAAAAGTATCAGGAAACCCAAGACCTATAAGCATATCTTTAAGAAAATCTCAATTTATAGTATCAAAAACCTTCTTGATATCTATACTCATCATAATCCTGGGAGAATTATGTTTTCTGCCATAGCTCCTCACAATCTCATGAGCCATCAAGACATTACTTGATATTTGCCTTCCTTTAACAAAGGCACTTTGAGCCTCATTTATCAAAAAACCCATTACAGATTTAATTATGTTAGCTAGAATTTTAGAAATGATCTTATATAGGCAATTACAACAAGCTATGGGTCTGAAATCAGAAGGGTTCTTAGGGCAATGTGAACAACTTTTTGCTATCCATTTAAGTTGACACAAGTTTTGCTCTATATATATATAATTTGCCTTATTTTGGAATGGACTAAAACTAAAACACAACTTGTCCTAATTGGAATGATTTCTAACTACTTAATGTCCAACATACAAATCAGACAAAATTAAGTAGCTAACAGAAGGCTCAAACCTATCGTAAAACCTATGTGGTTCTTAACTAATATTATGAGCAGTTGTGAGTTCTCATTGGCTAAGGCTTGCCAAGGGAGCTTCTTAGGGTACCTCTCCTTGTCCGTTGCTAACTTTGCTCATGTTCTAGAATAAAGCTACCACCTATGAAAATGACTTGTAAACCATCTCGCTCCTTTTGTCTCTATATATGTTTGTTTAGCTTTAAGCCCAGAGTTTGTTGGTGGGCCTTGGGTCGGTTTGTGGATGGTGGGCCTCCTTTGTACTCCTCCATATTCTATAATATCCTCTCCTACCAATCTCTAGTATAATACTTTTGGCAATCTCTAATCTAAAGACTAAAAAGAGGTGTAAATGTAGCACAAGCTTCTAGAGGGTTATCTAGCATGATTATGGCCCCTTCCCGATCTGTTCTTCCTCTTTATTAAGTGCCAATTGCCTTCTTATTGTCATGTTCGCATGAAAAATATGAGAGATCATGGTTGATTGTCTATCTATTTTTATTAAAAGCAGTGTGTGAGCGTCATTTTTAGAATAGGAAAATTTGCAAAATAGACCATTTTTACGAAATATATAACGAAATAGACCATTTTGAAAAATAATTAGCAAAATAGATCTCTTTTGAAAAAAAGAGGTCGATTTTGAAAAACAACGCTCGGAAAACATACGGGACTACTAGTCCCGTATGTTTAGAGCCAACTAATCACGGATTAGTGACTCAGAAAACATACGGGACTAGTAGTCCCGTATGTTTTCTGAGTAGAAAATTTCACTAATCCGTGATTAAAACATACGGGACTACTAGTCCCGTATG